GGGGCCAGGGGGGCGGGAAGAAGCGTCCCCTCTCTGGGACATGCCATTCTTGTTTAAAAGGGAAAAGAGAGATGACAGAACCAAGTGAGTTTATGCTCAGCAGTGGCATATCACTTCCTGTCACATATCATTGAACAAATCAAGGCCAAGACTGCCATTCAAGGTGAGGAGGTAGTCTGCCCAGTGGGAGGGACAAAAATATTTGGGAATAGTAATATAATCTACCACAGAGGTTGTTTTCATTCTCAGGCAGGTATCCTTTTGACTGACTTTTGGACTATGTACAAAATCCTTTTTTTTTTTAGGTTTTGCTAATATACAAGAAAGACTTTCTTATCTCTAGGCTGGGGTTTAGCCTGATTTATTTTTAATATGAATCCACAGAAAAATAAGGATTAAAATCATTTTGAAAAATTAATATTTGGAGTTCCCATAAATATAATGGTGGTATAAATATAAACAATATTACCTTACAAACTCAACTAATTGAAATCTTCATCGTATTACTCTAAGTGGAGAAAAATAGCTGATTCCCACCCAACCCCCACTCCAGCCATCAGGAAACTCTCAAAAAGAACTTCATATAGTTAGTATTTTAAGGCAGATCATTCAAATTTGATGAAAATCTGTTGTCATTCTATATGAGGTCACAATGAACAGAGGTATACTTTCATTTACGTAGATGGCAAATGATATATTTTTAGATTTAATTGCTAAATGTTAAGGTATTTGTATATGACATGTATATTTGAGGCCCGCTTTCTTAGCGATTCTTCCTTCTCTGGAATTTTTTTTTTTTTTTTTTGAGAGGGAGTCTCGCGCTGTCGCCCAGGCAGTGGCGCCATCTCGGCTCACTGCAAGCTCCGCCTCCCGGGTTCACGCCATTCTCCTGCCTCAGCCTCCTGAGTAGCTGGGACTACAGGCGCCTGCCAGCGCGCCCGGCTAATTTTTTGTATTTTTAGTAGAGACGGGGTTTCACCGTGGTCTCGATCTCCTGACCTTGTGATTCGCTCGCCTCAGCCTCCCAAAGTGCTGGGATTACAGGGGTGAACCACCGCGCCCGGCCTCCGAGCCCAGCTTTTCTTAATCTGACTGTCTTTGTCTTTTTCTATTTTAAGATACTTCGAAAATTACTGGTTTATTTTCTAAAAATGAAGTAAATTATCTCTAGGTTCCCCTTAAATGATATTTTATTATTAGATGGTTTAAAACAATCCTGTTTGGCTTTTCAATAATAAATGTAAAAACCGATCATATTGCATGTCAAAATTTATTTACCCATGGTTTGATAATAATAGCTATAACACTTACAGAGTGCTACTGTCATATTCTAGGTGCTTTATATGTGTTGTTTATTTATTCCACATGACAACCCTATAAGTACCAATATTATCCTTTTTTTTTTTTTTTTTTGAGATGGAGTCTTGCTCTCATAGCCCAGGCTTGAGTGCAATGGCTAGATCTCGACTCACTGCAACCTCTGCCTCCTGTGTTCAAGCGATTCTCCTGCCTCAGCCTCCCGAGTAGCTGGGATTACAGGCATGCACTACCATGCCTGGCTAATTTTTTGTATTTTTAGTAGAGACAGGGTTTCACTGTGTTGGCGAGGTTGGTCTTGAACTGCTGACCTCAGGTGATCCACCTGCCTCGGCTTCCCAAAGTGCTGGGATTACAGGTGTGAACCACCTTGCCTGGCCATATTATCCCCTTTTTATACAGGAAGGATTTACTGTGCTTACTTTAGTACACATCTATATTCAATATTGGAAAAATAAGCGATGTTTGGCAGGGCTTATCAGTGAGGCTAGGAAGTTGGCCAGTTAAAGCAGGAAACCAACAGAAGAAAGGGAAGTAGTAGCAGAAGCTTGTTTAGAGGTTTCCTGAACCTTGCTCTATTCTCCAAACAGAAGAATTTCAAAAAAAGGCTTAGGCAATTCTTTTAAGCTGTTAGTCAAAGGAGAATTACTTGCTTTTTAGTTCTAGGTCAACAAATAATAAATAACTTTTTGTGAAGGCACACACTTTTTATTTTATTTTATTTATTTTTTTGAGATGTAGTATTGCTCTGTTGCCAGGCTGGAGTGCAGTGGCATGGTCTCGGTTCACTGCAACCTTGGCCTTCCAAGTTCCAGGGATTCTCTTGCCTCAGCCTCCCGAGTAGCTGGGATTACAGGTGCGTGCCACCACATCCAGCTAATTGTTGTATTTGTAATAGAGGCGGGGTTTCACCATGTTAGTCAGGATGGTCTCAATCTCCGGACTTTGATATCCGCTCGCCTCAGCCTCCCAAAGTGCTGGGATTTACAGCATGAGTCCACCGTGCCCAGCCTATATATGGATTTTATTATGATCTTGAAACATTAGCCTTTTGTAATTTTCGACAGAACAGAGCAGCTCAGGAACACAGAAGGACAGGAACCCTTCTTCAAGTTAGAATAGGAACAAAGTGCATAAATTCCAACTATTCCCTTTGATGGCTGATTACCTCATGATGGCTATGGGACAGCAACTCTTTGTAGTGTAGCTGCACTTAGAAGCAAAAAGGAAGTCTAAGAGTAGATTTGACAACTCAACCATAGTTAATGTGGAGAGTCTTTTTCTATTTGCAGATATTTTGGTGGACTACTTATTGTATGTATACAAATATTTTTATATGTTTTACATGATGATTACATGAGTTTATTTTACGTGATGATATGATTCAATTTAACATAACTGAAACTCCAAAGTTGTGTAATGGTTACAAAGTTGTAGAATAAAAATATCTTTAAAGATTAAAAAATTATATAAGATGAAGAAAATAATCAAATGAAAGTATTGAGTCACATTTTTATTCAATTTAGAATAGTTTCTTGGTTGTCTGTAACCTTTTCATTAGCCTTCTCAAACAAGGGGTTAAATTTCAGTGAACTCAATTCTTCCAGATTTTGGGAGTAATATCTGTCCATTCTCCCCAAAAGCAGAAAGTCTAGAAACTACCAAAAATAAAACTCTAGAAACTAGAAACTCTAGAAAATAATCTATTACTAGGTTAGCTTTCTTATTTGTTAAGTGTACTATAAAGCCTTTAAACCTTTAAATATCTAAAATAATTTTCAAGAAACTCGGAGAAATTAAGGGAAAAATTGAGAGGAAAATAGTAACTGGATTGTCAGTTGCTTCGTGTTGTTGAGAAAAAGGAGGCAGTTAAAATTGATAACTAATTGCAGCTAAGATACTGGATAATATTAAAGTTTGCAAGTCATTAACAAGTCAGGGTTAGGCATGGGTAATATTTGTTACCTTTCCTCCGAAACTTGATGTCTCTATTCCTGAATATATCATTACTTGGATTCATCAACATTTTTGGACAAGTAACATTAGTAATAAAAGCCATCTAAGTAGTTTGCCATTGTCCTAACTGCCTTTTTTTTTTTTTTAAATAAAAAAGGTGACTATGTTTTACACATGATAGTTTTTTCCATGTTCTTCTGGTTAAACAGCAGATAGAAAAAAAAAAAAAACTTAAAACACAGCAAGGCTGTAACATGCCAAAGGTCACATAACCTGTGGGTACAGCCAGATTTCCTAATTATTAATCTATTAAAATATTTTACAGTTCATTACATTACTAAATCCGGTGATCAATTAATGACGCACCTGACATACACCTTCTAGTTTCATAAAATAACTCATTAGGCTGGGCGCGGTGGCTCACGCCTCTAATCTCAGCAATTTGGGAGGCTCAGGGGGTGCGGATCCCTCGAAACCAGCCTGGGCAACCTCGCGAAACCCCATCTCTACCAAAAAAAAAAAAAAAAAAAAATTAGCAGGTGGTGGCTGAGGTGGGAGGATCACCAGGGCCCCTGAGTTCAAGGCTGCATTGAGCTGTGATTACGCCACTGCACTCCAGCCTGGGCGACAGAGTGAGACCCTTTCTCAAAAGGCACCCACGACACAATAACGACACACCAACCCCCAAAACATCTTACTAAACTCCGTGGATCTACACCTTTTAAACCTAATTGTTTCAGGAAATCGTCTAAAAACATTTTTTTGTCCTGGAATGGAATGTGTATGTAGGCTCAGGGAACAACTCAAGTTTATCAGGTTCTCGGCTCTTTTTCCACAGGTCCAAAAGGATAAATGGATAAAGTGATGCTGAAATAACTTAGAGAACCCGTATTCCAACGCTTCTATTTTAAAAACAGTGAAGTGAAGCAGTTTTTAAAATAGAAAAGTATCTACAATTTTGCTTTCAAGCAAACTAGCGTTAACGGAGTCATTGCTATTCAAAACTATTTTTGAAGTATCGGTGTACATTTAAAAATTAATTTTTAAAAAGCTGTCGTTTTCTGGATTCCGCACCCCGCCATTCGTCGTCCTCCCCCCACCTCCACCCTCCATTGGCTTAAGTCACATAGCTGAAAGGATTGTGCTCATTTTTTCCAAAACATTTCACGTCTGGGTAGTAGCCAATCATGGAAAGTTTCAAGCAAATGTTACATTTGGGAGAGGGATGAAGCTCGTCCGGGGTTGCTCTCGGAGGAGTCGCCAGACGCCCTGACCTGGGAGCCAGATGCGAGGTGGGACCGGTCGAGCTCCGACAGCTCGGCCAGACTCAGCCCCGCCAAACCTGCTGACCTCACAGCCCTCGGCTGCGGGGGCTCTCGCCCATGAGTCTCCCCAACAGCTCGAATCCCCAGAGCTGAGGAGCCCATCGCTTCATAAATGCGAGAACCCAGAGCCCCTAGTACCCAACTAGGCTAGCCTCGGAGTTGGCACGGCGCGCAGAAAGCGGCTACTGAGGAGCCGGGCCTGGCTCATCCGCTGCACACGTCAGTTTGACTCCTCTCCCCGCTCCCCACCAATCCCCCGCCCTACTCTCCGCGCACCCAGAGCCGAGAGAAATTTGACTGCCCTAATCGCCAATCAAAAGAGAGGTCGAGGATTTCAGCCAATCGGAGCGGGAGAAGGGGGCGGGTCGTCGGCGAGAGCCGAATGTCTCTAGCCCTCCCCTGCGCTTTAGCCTCAGTGCAGAGCTTTAGGTGGTGTGAAGGGAACCGGTCGCGGCGATCGTAAGGACCAGCAGCAGAAGGAGCAGCAGGAGCAGCAGCAGCAGCACCCGCATCCGCTGCGGGAGTCCGAGCCAGAACCACACCCACGTCGCTGCCCTTTACTCTTGTCATCTCACTGCCCCGCCACAGACCGCGTTCCCCGAGGAAAGCGGCAGCCCACGCCCGGAGCATCCTCCCCTGCTGAGCGGCCGCTGACGGACCCGGCGGTATGATGCGGCTGCGAGGCTCGGTGATGCTGCGGGACCTGCTCCTGCGGTCGCCAGCCGGCGTGAGCGCGACTCTGCGGCGGGCACAGCCCCTGGTCACCCTGTGCCGGCGTCCCCGAAGCGGGGGACGGCCGGCCGCGGGCCCAGCTGCCGCCGCGCGACTCCACCCGTGGTGGGGCGGGGGCGGCTGGCCGGCGGGGCCCCTTGCGCGGGGCCTGTCCAGCTCTCCCTCGGAGATCTTGCAGGAGCTGGGCAAGGGGAGTACGCATCCGCAGCCCGGGGTGTCGCCACCCGCTGCCCCGGCGGCGCCCGGCCCCAAGGACGGCCCCGGGGAGACGGACGCGTTTGGCAACAGCGAGGGCAAAGAGCTGGTGGCCTCAGGTGAAAAGTGAGTGTCTCCGCGAGGCGCAGGAGGCCTCATTCCGCTCGGGGCCCAGGCTCGGGGTGTGTGGGGACCTGCGGTGGGGCAGGATAGGAACCGAGGTTCTAGAAAAGAGAAAGAAAGAGGTGCCGGGCGGCCTGCGCCGTCTGCGCCATGTGATTAGGCCCGGCCCCGCCCGAGCCTTCCCCGCCTGCGTCTCTCAGCCAGGCTCCCACTTCCCTTCTCCGCCCCCGGCGGGGGTCGCCCGGGTGGGGCCGCGGTGGGGCCTGATGGGCTCGCCTGGCGTCCTAGCGCAAGAGAGGCGGCTCCCCTGCCCGCGCCGCGTGCTCAGCTCCCTGGTTCGTGGCTGCAGCGCCTGGCCGCCCGCCCCAGCCGTTCGTGGGCGATGCCGCACGAACATCTCCACCGAGTGACATTCAGGAGTTGGGCGTTCAGCAGAGCCTTTACCTTCCTGACTTGTCGCCTTTCCTGGCTCGTTTCCGCTTTGCCTGCCCTCCCTTGGTTTCTGCCATCATCCCGTTGGAAACCAGATGTGACAGAGAGCTCTTTATATTTCTGAAGTGGCTACATCAGGCACATGTAGAGCCATCTGGGGCACCGGAAACAATGTTTCAGAAGTGAGATTAGGAGGAATCGGGTCATGTGGCCGAGAAGATGGGGCACACAGTATAGACCACCTGTTTGCATTAGGGACCAGCTTTGGCCTGTCAGGTCTTCCGTGAGATGGGGAGATTTTTAGAAATAAAAGTTAAATAGCCAAGATGAAATGTGACATAATACACTAACTCAGTGAAAAATCTGAGTTAAGTAGGTTTTGTGACTTAGTTGTGATAGGATGTTGACTCATCCTGTATGTGTACAGCGCAGTAGTTTAGTCTTAAAGCAAAATTGGTTTTTTTAAAACAATATGCAAAGCAGTCTCCTAAATATTTTAGTCTTATGTAATACAAATGGATCACTTTGTTTTCCGAAAATGGGTAAAAATTTACCGGCCTGCTTTCATTATACCTGTTTTTCTGGCTTTGTACGCTGACACTCTAACCTGTTTTGCTTCCCTTTTATTTCTGCTGCTATTTCCAGCTCTAGAGTTCCAGCTCTAGAGTCAAACTGAAAGTGAGAACATTCTTATAATTTCAATCTCACGCCTGCTTGATGTTTTCCTGTAATTGAAGTTGGGACCTTCCAAAAACTTTCCTGAAGTTCTTCTCCTATACTGAAAAAGATTATTTGAAAAAAGCACTTGATGAAGGGCGAAATTTGTGGTATTTTGTGATGTTGGTTTTGTGCCACGAAATAGCGTCCTGAGCATGGACAAGTTATTTAATATCTTAGGTTAGATGACTTAAATCCTTTCAAGTTCTAAAAAGCTATACTCTTGTTAAATTTGTACTTCTCTCATGTTTTAGGGACTAGTATTATACTTAACCTCATCTGGGACTCACTTTAACTTTAACGTCATCAACTCGTTACTTGGGTTTACCAAGCAAGTAACGAGTTTACATACAAGGGCCCAAGTTACAGAATTGCAAAATGCAGTCACTACCATTTAAAAGTTAATCTTAAAGGCTACAGGATGGGAACTGCTTTCTAGTAAAATTATGTCTTCAGGTCTGTGTCTCTGCAGTGGCTCTAGTGCCTCTCTTTTTTCCCACTTGTCAAATAGGAAATTGAGCTTCTTCTGTGATTTACTTGTCCAGAAGTTTCTGGTTTCATTGCCTTCTTAATACAAGTCACCTTTTAGCAATGGCCTCAAGGTTGTGAAGAAAGTATTTTAATTGGTTAAAGTTTCTATTTCCTGGATGCTCTGGTTTCCAAATGTAGCTTTCCTCCTTTGGCTCCTTTCATTTTGCCTTTATGTGACAAACATTTCTCTTATCCTGGGAGATAAGCTCCCAGTTGATCCTGTTATCCTTTCTAATGCTTAGCCTCCAAAGCATAGGTCATCCCTCAATCAGCAGTCCACCTGGTATGCTAGCACTCACTCAGGACTGTGCCAGATTTTATGTAGTATTATTAAGAAATAACCATGAGAAAATTAAATTAACATTTTGTAAAAGGCTTAGAACAATATTTGGCGTGTATTAAATGACACATAACTATTTATTAAATAAATGAGAAAAAATTGCTGCTTCATTATTGTAAAGCCTGTTAAAGAGATTGACCTTTGAATTTCAGGCTTGCACATGAAGGTTTTTAATGTTTTTAGTTTCCATAAAAATGTTTATCTTGAGAAATTGCTATACATCTGTCTTATATGAAACTATGTGAGTTGCACTGTTTACCTTTTGCTCTGTTGATAAATAAGTTCAGAGTAACTTTGATGCTTAACCACACCAATTTCATCAGTTCACATGACTGAGATATTTGCGTTTCCTCCTTTCCTTGGTCCTGACTTTATATTTTATTTACTTTATATTCTGAAAGGAGGTGGGATATAAGCAAGTTACCTTACCTTTTTTTCATAAACTCTGAATTAAAGTCACCTTAGACTATGCTGTTTCCATTACACAACTTTAGTGTAGTTTAGGATAGGAACATCTTAATATCATATAGAAAAATGTAATGATCTTTGCTCAGTTTTCTCTATAGTGATCTTACTTAATTTTGTTATGGTTCATTCTTTCATCTTGAAAACCAACTTTGCTTGTCTGTCTTCATTTTCAAAATTGTTCTCCTTTCTTAATTCTTTTTGGATTTCCTTACTGGGTAAACCCTGAGGCTGAGGCCTTTGCCCCTTTCCCACTTGTCTACCTTGTCAACAGCATATCTCTTCTTTCAGCTTTGACTCTCATCTTTGTGTAGGTAATACTTCATCTCTTAATCTAAAGCTCTGTTCTTTTGTTTTGTTTTGTTTTGTTTTGTTTTTGAGACAGAGTTTCGCTCTTTTTGCCCAGGCTGGAGTGCAATGGCGTGATCTCGGCTCACCGCAACCTCCGCCTCCCGGGTTCAAGCGATTCTCCTGCCTCAGCCTCCCGAGTAGCTGGGATCACAGGCTTGTGCCACCACCCCGACTAATTTTGTATTTTTAGTAGAGACAGGGTTTCTCCATGTTGGTCAGGCTGGTCTTGAACTCCCGACCTCAGGTGATCCACCTGCCTCGGCCTCCCAAAGTGCGGGGATTACAAGCGTGAGCCACCGCATCCGGCTAAAGCATTTGTCGCCACATATCCGATGACTTCAGATTTTAAGTCTGTACCCCAATATTCTTTTCTCCAATTCAACCTATTTTGCATGCTGTTATGAGATTAATTTTAGAGTTTTAATTTGAAAATATCACTCTACTTCCAGAAAACCAACAGGAACTGGAATGAGCATTATATTAAAGTCACAAACTATGTTATGGTTTATGCCAGCACTTGTCCATATGGACATTTTTATCATACTTTTCTCTGTCAAGCTGGTTATACTTATTTCCTTAAAGTCCAGAAGTATATATCCTATCTTAGTGAAGAGTCCCTAGGAAGAGTCAGAGGGATAGAGGTACAGGGGCGTTATTAAGTTTTTTTATTTGGACATTTATTTTTTAATGAGAAAGGAAAACAGATACATAACAGAAATTGGGCTGGAAAAATACCAGCATATGTATGCTGTTGGAAAATAGATAATTCATACAGGATGCAATATTGAAAGTATTCTGTTAAAGCAACAATGAGGTCAGTTTCCCCTTGTCAGATTGGCAGATATTAAATCAAGTGATTGGGAAATAGGAACTCTTGCATTGCTAGTAGAAGTATAAATTATTAGTTCAGTTACTTTGGAGGGCAGTTTGGTAGTTTCTGTTAAAAACTGCATACCTGTGAGGTGGTAGTTGGATGTTTGCACATCTACGTGAAGTCATGGCATTCAGAAATATTTGTAATTACACAAATAAGCATACTTTAAAATATATTTGTATTTAAAAGTAAAAGTGCAAGCAAAAATGATTTCAGCTATCTTTAGATAGTATGGATTTGTGTTTTGATAGTTCAGCTTTATGTTTTGATAGTTCATATATTTAGTAAATGGAAAATGAAGGGCAAAGAAAATCATCGAGGTGTATACTATGAAAATTGAATTTTTTTTGTTTTTTTTTGAGATGGAGTCTCATTCTGTCACCCAGGCTGGAGTGCAGTGACACAATCTTGGTTCACTGCAACCTCTGCCTCCCGGATTCAAGCGATTCTCCAGCCTCAGCCTCCCGAGTAGCTGGGATTACAGGTGCCCGCCACCACACCTGGCTAATTTTTGTGTTTTTAGTAGAGATGGGGTTTCACCATTTTGGCTGGGCAGGTCTCGAACTCCTGACCTCAGATGATCTGCCTTCTTTGGCCTCCCAAAGTGCTGGGATTACAGACATGAGCCACCGTGCCCAGCCTGAAAATTGAATTTCAAAGTAAGATGAAATGCTTATGAATTTCAGCAAACATTGAATTGGGTAGATTGAACAATACTAGTAAGGAAGTTGAGTTAGTATTTGGCAGATATAAATATTAAGTTTTAGAATTGAATGACAAAACCTTGGCATGTGTTTTTATGATCCTTCAGTATTGCATTTGTTTTTAATTTTAAAAGTTAACATTTACAATTCACTTAAACTAAAATCAAGTTGGAAAGTATGTTTAATTTTTTCCTTTGTTGTTTTTGATTTCTTCATTATTAAATTTTTTTTCTAGTTGATGATTATCAGTGAGTTTTAGTTTTTTGTTATTTTATTTTATTTTTATTTATTTATATTTGAGATGGAGTCTTGCTCTGTCACCCAGGTTGGAGTGCAGTGGTGCGATCTCAGCTCACTGCAACCTCTGCTTCCCGGTTCAAGTGGTTCTCCTGCCTCAGCCTCCCGTGTAGCTGGGACTACAGGCACGTGCCACCACACCCAGCTAATTTTTTTGTATTTTTAGTGAGATGGGATTTCACCATGTTAGCTAGGATGGTCTCAACCTCCTGACCTTGTGATCTGCCTGCTTCGGCCTCCCAAATTGCTGGGATTACAGGCATGAGCCACTGCACCCAGCCCAGTTTTTTGT